CCTCCTCCCCCTCCTCCTCCTCCTCCTCTTCCCCCTTCTTCTTGTAATTGTCATTTTCTTGGTCTGGCCACTGAGCCCCGTGCAGGAACCAGGCAGCCCCTCCTGCTGGCCACCTAGTGGGAAGTCACTCTTTAGTGATCCCCATTTTATATTTAAAGGTACAGCAACGTGAAAGACCCCAGGCCCCCTCTCCCGAGGCCACCACCTATCAAAGAAGAAAATCTAACCCCAGTGAATGTGTGACTCGGCTTAAAATAGGTGTATTTTACCGAGTTGGCATCCTACTGACCTTCAGTGTCGCTTAGCATGGACAGTTTCCTGTCGTAATATTTTGCAGGAGCATGATTTTCAGAGCGCCATAGTAATTTATCTCCTAGGGCACTCCATCATTTATTTTTGGTTCTTTCTCTTTCCTTCTACTGTCATAAACAACTCAGGGGGATGTCTATCTTGGGGACATTTTTAAGGTTCATATGTCATTTGGGGGGGGTACCACGGATTGAACCCAGGGACACTAGACCCCTGAGCCCCGTCCCCAGCCCCTTTTTATATTTTAGAGACAGGGTCTCGCTAAGTTGCTTAGAACCTTGCTAAGTGGCTGAGGCTGGCCTCCACCTTGCGATCCTCCTGCCTCAGCCTCCTGAGTATCGGGATCACACGTGTGCACCCCTGTTCCCAGCTAAAGAACAAAATGGGTCCCTTTTGGTAGACATAGCCCAACTTCCTCTCCTAGGGACTGCATCAACTTACACTCCTACCCTACCAGCCTCGTCGGAGGATGCTTGTTTTTTCCACAAATGCTGACTCCGATTCAGCCTATGGCAAGAAAGTTCAGTGTGTTGGCCGCCTGCTTGCTATCAGCTTCATTAGAGGTGTGAGAAGTGAAACTGCCGGTTCAGAGAGGTTAAGTTACCTGCCTGAGGTCACACAGCGGAGGGTCCTGGAGCCCTAGACTGATTTGCAAGTCTAGGAACCATCCATTGGTGTTTATACTGAGGCGTTCAGACAAGGTCTCCCATCCTCACCTCCCGAGTCTTACCTGAGTCTTTCTCTCATGGAGTTATTGATCCCCTGTGGAGATGGGACACTTGCCTAGCGCCCACGGGCGTTAGCAGTGACTCTAGCTGAAGAGCTAACGTGGACAGCCTCCTGGAGGCCGGCCAGTCCTGCTAGACTCCATTAATTGGTTAAATAGATTCTCCTGCGTGCGCCCCGTCGAGTTCTCGGCTTCGATAAGGCATGATATTAATTTTAATTAAATCTCTGAAGGCTTGGCCAAATATTTCCACTTTCTGAATATGTCCCTTGATCACGGAATTTAAAGTCCCCTGAGACAGGACCGCTGGGAAGAGCTGCTGCCCCTTAGGATTCGGCCTCTCTTCCTGCCCTGAGTAGAGGGGGAGGCCAGTGTGTGGGGAGGGACTGGGAAGGAGGTCCAGAGAGGCTCACACACCTTGAGGGCCTACTATGTGTCAGGCACGGCTCTCGGGATGCCTACTCATTTTTCAACTTCATAACACAAAATGGGAGCTGAGCGCGTGGTACACGTCTGTCATCCCAGTTGGCTCGGGAGGCTGAGGCAGGAGGATGGCAAGTGGGAGGCCAGCCTCGACAACTTAGCAAGGCCCTTTCTCCAAATAAAAAAATAAATAAATAAAAAGGGCTGGGGATGGGGCTCAGGAATTAGGCATCCCTGGGTCCAATCCTCAGTAAAACATTAACCACGCACAAAATGGGAAACTTCAAATCCTCCCTTGGAACTTGTACAAACTGCATCTAAAGATGGAGACTTTTTTTAAATTTAAATTTTAATTTTTGGCACTGAGGATTGAACCCCGGGGTGCTTAACCACTGAGCCAGGTCACAGTCCTTTTTAATATTTTATTTAGAGACAGGGTCTCGCTGAGTTGCTGAGGGCCTTGCTAAGTGGCTGAGGCTGGCCTCCAACTCCTGATCCTCCTGCCTCAGCCTCCCGAGCCGCTGGGATTGACAGGTGTGTGCGCCACCGCGCCTGATGTGTGCATTTCGTTCAGCTCACGGGTTTGGAGAGCCTGCCTCACTTCATTGCCACTAAATATTGTCTGGTGGCTCTTCTGAGGGGTTGCACCCATTTCTACCTCTACCCCAGACACGGGTATTCCCAATTCCTATTTTTACCAATGCAAAATTTTTTTTTCTTCTTTTTTTTTTTTCCTGACTTTTTAATTTTTGCCTCGGTGCTGGGATAAGTGTTTTAGCGTCTTGTGATTACGAAGCACATTAAGCATCTCTTCATGTGCTTAACAACTTTCCGAGCTTGCCTTGCTCGGAGTGGCTCAATCATCTCCCTTATCCTTTGGCTGCAGGATGATGATTTTTTTGGTCGTTAATGTGCAGAAGTTTCTGGCATATTCTGGACGCTAGATATTGCAAAGATCCCATCCAGTCCATCATTGGACTCCAGCATTATTAACCGTGCATCTTGGTTTTTTTGATGCAATCCAATCCGTCTCTCTTCCAAAGCTTTGCAGCTTGTGCTTTTATATCTTGTTTCAAAAAAAAAAAAAAAAAAAAAAAAAGATCTTTCTCCTTGGACCTTCTGTGGCTTTACGTGCATTTTAAAATTTTAAGATAAACGGGGTGCGGTAGCGCACGCCCGTCATCCCAGCGACTCGGGAGGCTGAGGCAGGAGGATCGCAAGGTGGAGGCCAGCCTCAGCCACTGAGCGAGGCCCTGAGCCACTCAGGGAGACCCTGTCTCTAAATAAAATACAAAATAGGGCTGGGGACGGGGCTCAGGGGTGGAGGGCCCCTGGGTTCAATCCTCTGTACCTGCCTGCCTTAGATCACCCACTGGCTGATTCCACGGATGGATTTTTCTAATATTAAACCAACCTTCCATCTCCCATAAATCCTATTAGGTCTCTTACTTTTTTGGGGGTACCAGGGACAGAACCCAGGGGTGCTCAACCCCTGAGCCCCCTCCCCAGCCCTTTTTCTATTTTATTTACAGACAGGGTCTCTCCCGGAGTTGCTTAGGGCCTCGCTAAGTGGCTGAGGCTGGCCTCCACCTTGCGATCCTCCTGCCTCAGCCTCCCGAGTCTGTGGGATCGCAGGCGGGCGCCACCACACCCCATGTAAATTGTTCTTTCTAAGGCACTGGGTTTTAGGTGGTTTGTCACATAGCATTAGATAATGCCAACCTTTGAAACCCTCTCTGTGCCCCTCCTATCACAATTCTCTGGTCCTGGGGTGTGAGGGAGTTGGGAGGGAGAGGGATGCTCTTGTGATCCGTCTACACTGGGAACAGGATTGAGAACTGCTGCCTGGATTTTTTTTTTCTTTTTTTTTTTGGCCTGGGTCTGTGCTGTGTTTTATTCTTGACTTTCAGAGAGGTGACAGGTTGACAGAAGTCCCTCTGGATGTGCCAGAGAGAGAAAAGAGCATCGTTAACCAGCATCTCCCTGACTGACTCTGTTCCCACACCGAGTGGCTCCGTCACCTCCCGCTCCCCACACACCCCAGAACCCCACCACCTTTGGGGTTCCACGCCAGCTCCTGAGATCCGCGAACCCCCTTTCTCTGCTGTGGAGCCTCAAGTTTCGGGGGGAACTTAGCAGGAAGCAA